CAAGAATGAAGAATGAATGTGCTGGATATTGGCTGGATAATTTTGTCAGAACAACCAACTTGCAAGACAATCTTACCTAAATTCATTGTTATGGAAAAAAACTTAACAGCTACAATGAATAATCATATATATTATATGGTGGATTTGATCAATGGCACACAATGTACAAAACTAAACTTGTGATACCTTCTACTCAAACCGATAATCTCCCACAACACGATTGTTTTTGTGTGAATGTGCTGTACGTGTTAAACCGAACAGTGTGGTATATCATTAACTGTGCACAGAACTGGAATTTAATTATATACTTCACTCATGACCTTCAAAACATTCTCAATTATTCAGTGGTCTTCGACATGTTCACCAAATATTTTGTGTATGTTACTCAACAGTTAACATTGGCAAGTGTAAACAACAAGTGACATAACTTTTGCTTCATATGATTACAATAAAGTTTTGAAAATTTGATGAGTATGGATTGAATTGACAGGTGACAGTTTACTAAATAGCCGGCTGTATAGACACTTTGAATATTGTTTGCATGAAATTTTTATTTCCTGACTGCATAATTATCTGTTACAATCATAATCACATTATAAAGTTAGTTAAATTTTCTCGGTGCGGGCGGGGGTAGCACTTGCCCTGCTGCACTCCCCGCTGTGTACAGCCCTGTTTTAAATCTTATCTGCTATTATAATAAGTGATGAAATATTTCAATTGTCCCATGTCATCTTCATTATTCAGTTTCTTTCAAGAAAATACAAAATGTGAATCAAGTTTTTTCGCAGATACATGTACGCGGTCGCGTACCTATTTTTGTATCTGCGAAGCAGATATATATGCTATCGCAAACGTGCCGTGACCGTACCGTACCGTATCCCTAGCCATTCAGCGACGGGCTTATATAATTCAGCCAATTTATGCCAATTTAAGCCAATCAGCGATTCGTTTACATCAATTGTTTACATCTTGCCCGCTGATCTAACCTGCGAACGGGCATACTTTAGCCTCGTCAGGCCTCGTGTATAAATCGTGTTTTATATTCTTTCAAAAATATCTTGATATTTTTATCAATTTATCTTGAATTGAAGACAGCCATTGAATTTGAATGAACTTGCGATATTATTCCGACGTTATTTATCAACATGGAAGCTTATCCTCATCTGGTAAGTAGTGAAATACCACATATTATATATTTAAATACCAAATTTGGGCAAATGTATGTCCCACATATTTTATAAGTTTTATAATACATGAGTTCGCCAGTTCGGCAAATATTTACTATACTATCTATAGTAAATATTGCCGTATCTTCGGCGTAGAGTTTACATGTAATGCACTCTGGAATTTTTTATTAATATATTAGACTGTTAAAATATTGGATATTTTCGAGGATATTTGTCAACATAGTTCGCAAAAAGATTTATACAGTATTAAAAACAATCCTTCTGTGACTTCTGTAGTATTTTAAACAGTGAAAACATTCTCAGGAGATATTGAATTAAATCCTGGTCCTGTATTTCTGTATATTGACTCCATAACTCTGTTCAAAACAACAGTCCAACTATAAAGCTGTCATCAAATGTAGTGTTAGAGCAAAGGTTGAAGACGTTATCAGTTAAAATACTTATACATTTTGGTTTTACACATTAGAGTTACTTAAACAAAATTTTTACAAACATTTTCAAATAAAAGAATCCTCACCCTCCCGAGCCTCATTACATTGTCATTTTGCTTTCTAACATAAATATTTTTCTTTAGAGATTAATACAAGAATGAAGAATAATAATGGCTGGATAATTTTGTCAGAACAACCAACTTGCAAGACAATCTTACCTAAATTCATTAGTATGGAAAATAACTTAACAGCTACAATGAGTAATCATATATTATATGGTGGATTTGATCAATGGCACACAATGTACAAAACTAAACTTGTGATACCTTCTACTTAAAATGACAATCTCCCACAACACGATTGTTTTTGCGTGATTGTGCTGTACGTGTTAAACCGAACAGTGTGGTATATATATCATTAACTGTGCACAGAACTGGAATTTAATTATATACTTCACTCATGACCTTCAAAACATTCTCAATTATTCAGTGGTCTTCGACATGTTCACCAAATATTTTGTGTATGTTACTCAACAGTTAACATTGGCAAGTGTAAACAACAAGTGACATAACTTTTGCTTCATATGATTACAATAAAGTTTTGAAAATTTGATGAGTATATGGATTGAATTGACAGGTGACAGTTTACTAAATAGCTGGCTGTATAGACACTTTGAATATTGTTTGCATGAAATTTTTATTTCCTGACTGCATAATTATCTGTTACAATCATAATCACATTATAAAGTTAGTTAAATTTTCTCGGTGGGGGGGTGGGGGGGGGTGGTTGTGGTTGTACTTGCCCTGCTGCACTCCCCGCTGTGTACAGCCCTGTTTTAAATCTTATCTGCCATTATAATAAGTGATGAAATATTTCAATTGTCCCATGTCATCTTCATTATTCAGTTTCTTTCAAGAAAATACAAAATGTGAATCAAGTTTTTTCGCAGATACATGTACGCGGTCGCGTACCTATTTTTGTATCTGCGAAGCAGATATATATGCTATCTCAAACGTGCCGTGACCGTACCGTACCGTACCGTATCCCTAGCCATTCAGCGACGGGCTTATATAATTCAGGCAATTTATGCCAATTTAAGCCAATCAGCGATTCGTTTACATCAATTGTTTACATCGTGCCCGCATCTAACCTGCGAACGGGCATACTTTAGCCTCGTCAGGCCTCGTGTATAAATCGTGTTATTGTTTCAAAAATATCTTTATATTTTTATCAATTTATCTCGAATTGGCTATCTTTTTTTTATTCCGAAGTTATTTATCAACATGGAATCTTATCCTCATCTGGTAAGTAGTCAAATACCACATATTATATATTTAAATACCAAATTTGTGCAAATATATGTCCCACATATTTTATAAATTATACACGAGTTCGCCAGTTCGGCAAATATTTACTATACTATCTATAGTTAATATTGCCGTATCTTCGGCGTAGAGTTTACATGGAATGCACTCTGGAATTTTTTTTATTAATATATTACACTGTATAAAATATTGGATATTTTCGAGGATATTTTAAGCCATTTATCAACATAGTTCACAAAAAGATTAATTTATACAGTATTAAAAACAATCCTTCTGTGACTTCTGTAATATTTTAAACAATGAAAACATTCTCAGGAGATATTGAATTAAATCCTGGTCCTGTATTTCTGTATATTGACTCCATAACTCTGTTCAAAACAACAGTCCAACTATAAAGCTGTCATCAAATGTAGTGTTAGAGCAAAGGTTGAAGATGTTATCAGTTAAAATACTTATACTGTTATACATTTTGGTTTTACACATTAGAGTTAATTAAACAAAATTGTTTACAAACATTTTCAAATAAAAGAATCCTCACCCTCCCGAGCCTCATTACATTGTCATTTTGCTTTCTAACATAAATATTTTTCTTTAGAGATTAATACAAGAATGAAGAATAAATGTACTGGATATTGGCTGGATAATTTTGTCAGAACAATCAACTTGCAAGACAATCTTACCTAAATTCATTAGTATGGAAAATAACTTAACAGCTACAATGAATAATCATATATTATATGGTGGATTTGATCAATGGCACACAATGTACAAAACTAAACTTGTGATACCTTCTACTCAAACCGATAATCTCCCACAACACAATTGTTTTTGTGTGAATGTGCTGTACGTGTTAAACCGAACAGTGTGCTATATCATTAATTAACTGTGCACAGAACTGGAATTTAATTATATACTTCACTCATGACCTTCAAAACATTCTCAATTATTCAGTGGTCTTCGACATGTTCACCAAATATTTTGTGTATGTTACTCAACAGTTAACATTGGCAAGTGTAAACAACAAGTGACATAACTTTTGCTTCATATATGATTACAATAAAGTTTTGAAAATTTGATGAGTATGGATTGAATTGACAGGTGACAGTTTACTAAATAGCCGGCTGTATAGACACTTTGAATATTGTTTGCATGAAATTTTTATTTCCTGACTGCATAATTAGCTGTTACAATCATAATCACATTATAAAGTTGGTTAAATTTTCTCGGTGCGGGGGTGGGGGGGGGGGGAGCATTTGCCCTCCCGCCCTCCCCGATGTGTACAGCCCTGTTTTAAATCTTATCTGCTATTATAATAAGTGATGAAATATTTCAATTGTTCCATGTCACCTTCATTATTCAGTTCCTTTCAAGAAAATACAAAATGTGAATCAAGTTTTTTCGCAGATATATGTACGCCTTGCGTACCTATTTTTAAAGCTGCCGAGAACTTTAATATCTTTGATACATTTCGGTAGCAAGTTCCAATCACGTGCTGCAGCGACTTTAAACATAGTTTGCCCTTGTGTAAGCTACCTAGGTATATCTATCAAAGTTTGATCACGGAGGGATTTTTCTCTTAATGAGCTTCTTAAGACCAGATAATTGTTAAGATACTTAGGATACTTAAGACCTGCAGATAATTGTTAAGATACTCGTTTTACTTGACAAGGACTTGGGGCGACGAATCCAGTGGACTAGTAAAATATCCCCAAGTTTACGCACGACTGTCAACACATGGCGAAATCAGTTAATGTCTAAAACGTCGTTGCTTTAATAAGGTCCCAGCGTAACTATACAACTTCATACACTTTTAAACACATGTTAGGATCTTTAAGCAGTCTTTTTCAGTAATCAAACTTTTAAACTTGTGTCTAAAATTAAGAGCGCTAAACTTTGTCAAGAAACATGATTTTAGTCTCGATTTATAAAACTCTGGCTTTGCACTTGTCTTACCAGACGAGAAAATCATTGCACGTGTTGCCACTTCTCTTGCACCGGCATGGCGATCAAATTTGACCCGTTGCGCTGCCCCCGCAAGAAAAAAATCGCACGTCTAACCCAGCTTTACATCCTGATAATTCTCCTTCATTTATTTAGGGAGTGCGAAATAAGACAAACATGAGTGATATGGACCTAGAGGCTTTCAAGTTTGCAATTTCTCAACCTGGCGCCCTCACTGCTGCTTTAAATTACTATCGAAATATTGTTACATTGTATCTTGACGATGATTGGCTAAGAGATGGCCAAACGCGCATTACGTCACCGACGTTGATTGTCTGGGTAAGGTGTTACAAAATCTTCTTCATAGCTGTTTCATGATATTCGAAATATTGTTACATTGTATCTTGACGATGATTGGCTAAGAGATGGCCAAACGCGCATTACGTCACCGACGATGATTGTCTGGGTAAGGTGTTACAAAATCTTGTTCATAGCCGTTTCATGATATTCGAAATATTGTTACAGTTCCTATAAAACACTGGTTTAAGCATAGTTTTTTGTGAATAAAGCATACGATTATGCTTATTTCTATAATCCATGCTTGTTGGCAAAGAAAATCGTCTTGGCTATGATAAATTTCAGTTTGAAGACCACCACAAGTACGCCATTTAAGTTAACAGGGATGTGGCCGGCGGAAAATTGTAATTTCTAAAATTTTTTGAAATGGCATTTTCTGCGTTTGAGTAAAAACATGTAGAATTCTTTATTAAGTGAAAAAATGTGTGTATGTACGTATGTATGAACAAACGAAGACCTGGCACTTACCTGATCGTAAAATTTAACCCTAATTCTAACTAAAAATATGACGGTTGTTCATACACCGAGAAAGTCTCTGAAAGCTCCTATAACTTTCCATCACTATATTTAATTTACATACTGTATGAGCTGATTATGCATGCATGTGTATTTTATCAGGGAGATCAAGATCCTTTTCTTACTAAGAAAACTTTGGACTTCATACCAAATTTTGTTGAAAATTCCACAATAAGGTATATGTACGTTTTAGCTTAAAGTTTTGCATAACATGAGTGGTCTGCAACTGACAGTTATTCTGTGAATGTGTGTTAAGACTCGACTATTGAACTCAGTTCGTTCCACCTTGTTCCCAAATCTTTTCTCTTCCTGACATTTTGGGAAAAGGCCTTGTTGACCATAGAGATTATAAATAACACTATAGAGGAGGCATCGCAAACTTGACATCAGGAAAAAAAGGAATGCAGCTAAAAATTCAAGTCCCGGATGTGTACTCGTATTCCCATTGGTGAGGAGTTTCAATTTAGCCAATGAGAGCATGATTTTATATCCGGGACCTAAATTTGCCCCCCATTAGCCGCGTTCCCAAATTTTAACCTCGATGCCTCCTTTAGTGTTATTTATAATCTATATGCTGTTGACGAGGTTGCAGTGCATTTAATTATATTGGACCAATCCCATATTAATCAAAATTTTGAACTCATCAAGTCTAGACAAAATTTTCATCACAGCTTGAAAGACTTGGAGCATCACAAAATTAGTAAAATTCCAAAGTTTCGTTGCGAAATGTTGTAAAAGGCGGATATTATAGCCTTGCAAAGTTTGTAATTTTCAGTCGTTTTGTATTACGCACGGAAGTGGTAACCGTTTCCCGCTTGTAATACAAAATGACTGAAAATTGCAACTTTCGCAAGACTATATTATCCGCATTTTACAACTTGTGCAGAACATCCTTCTTCAGAAACGTTTATTTCAACAGAGTGGTTCTAATGTGGAACAACCTACCATCAACTATTAATAAAATCATCCCTAACCTTCTCTTCGCTCAAAAGTAAACTATACCACTACTATACTATGAGAAATTGAGCTTAGATTTTGATGTCGATCGACCAAGAACTTGGAAATCTTTGTGTACAAAGTGTCGCTCCTTTGACATTACTTGTTGTTCGTAAACGTGTAATCTGTAAAAATTAGTATAAAAACTCTAAAAAATTTTTAAAAAAATCATTTATACTCTGTTAAGACAAAAAGACGGTTCTAGCCAGATAAAGTGTTAAGTCAGATTAACAAACATGTAAATGTTATGCATGCATGTTAGTAGAAATAGTTTTGGTGGGACTTAATTGGATCTTATTTAAGATCTGTTGTCCTTTTTTTCCTTCAATCATTTGTTAATATATGTTATTGATTGTAAAGTTAATAATAAAAAAAAAAATTAAGAGAGATTCAACTACCTGAAAAAACAATAAAACTTGTCTACCTGAAAAATACAAGTAAAAGTTGTCCACTGAAAAATACAAGTAAACTTGTCTACCTGAAAAATACAAGTAAAACTTGTCTACCTGAAAAATACAAGTAAACTTGTCTACCTGAAAAATACAAGTAAAACTTGTCTACTTGAAAAATACAAGTAAAACTTGTCTACCTGAAAAATACAAGTAAAACATTTTTCAGGTAGTTGAATCCCTCTCAATACGCATCTTTTTGGTTTAATTATGTAGGCTATTTATAGAATAGATTTACTATTACCTACTTCAGGCATCTTCATATCAATGCCAATGGCATTGGTATGATGGAGTTTTCTACGAAAGCAGTTCTTTATACTAAATAGGTTTTTAGGCTATAAAGTTCTATTTTATGAATGCAGGTTATTTGCTTGTAGCAAATACGGTCATTAGACCGAACGTTATAATGTCACTTCATGTTGTAGATTTGTCGGTGGTGCAAGTCACTGGGTCCAGCAAGACGAACCTCAGATTGTTAATGACTTTATCCGAGAATTCGTACAAGCATCGTGAAGTATGTAGGATTTAACAGAAAAATAATATGATTTGGGGTATGCATGCACTGGAGATATTTAATTCGTAACCTCGTCCCAGGCCCTCCCTCTTGCGGAGGGAACGAGGTTGTTTAATTCGCAGTTATAGCTCTGGGTACGAGATTGTTCTGAACTTGCAAAGAAATGAAAACGACCACGAGTAATCAATAATCATGCTATATAATGGCACTATCAGGGGTTCAAATCTAGAAATAATAAATAGAATAATTTATATTAAATATTCTGAATAATGCAAGGTACTGTAGCGCGTGTGGTTTTGATATTAGAGAACTGTGAGTATCATGGCAGAACCTAAACCACTCTTGCTATACTTTAATTCCACGCATTCATGTGTGACAATCGCAGTGACGTCACAGGAGTAGCTGTCATGGAAAATGAACTAGACACTAGTCGGTAACACAGAGTGGGTGTATAGCTTATTAAACTCTTTGCCTGTTACAGTAGAAACATCTGCACGTGGAAAACGTTGGTTAATTAAATAATGTCACACAGACCTTCATGGTTTATCGAGAGTATCTGACATGTGCGAGGCATACGAGCTAGAATTTTTAGTTATTTTGCCAGACACTTCATAATAATCTTTGAAAATTACCCGACTCTCCTTGAGGAGCACATGGAATTTTAGTATACGATAACAGCTTTTTTTACGCAAAATAACCTGTTATAAAGTTGCTATTGGATCTCTATATTAAGTCATGAGTGTCTCCCAAGGATCGTCTGTTTTTCCTTGTTCCCCCAAAGATTTCACGATACTCCTAGTTACCCCAGCGTAAATGTTCCCTTGTACCCTACTATTTCTTGGCTTTGTTCCTTGGAAACCTGGGAGACACTCAGCTATAACTTATAAGCATTGCACTCATTGCTGTTGTTGTAAAAATGTTTTTCTTCACAATACTCCAATCAAGTTTACTTCACGCGCAAAAGCATATAACTAGAGTCTCACTTGCGTGTGAATTTATCTCGCTATAAAGCTTAATTATGGACATGTTACACAGGAAGTTTTAAAAGACGATTCATAACGCAACGCACCGTATACCAATAAAATGACGTTTCCGTTTACTATAATCGTAGTTGCAAGTCATTCCGTGTATAAACTTTAAGCTCATTTGCAGGTTTGCTTTCTTTATCCTGGTATAGTGCATTACTACAGTTTGAAGCATGTCTCTTGTGATCTAAATATCAGAATAACATGAAGAAAATATTTAGGTTAAAATATACCACAATCCACATTCTGTGATAGCTCGCAATGTTCTTGTGTGACTCGCATGCTTTGGGTGTCTCGCGCATACACGCACTTTATGCAGACCAAATTAGAACCCGATATCTCTCTAAAGAATTTCAACAGTGCATGTATAACTGACTATACTATTTGCAAGCTTGTGGGGTACAGAGTCCAGTGTTATGTATAGCTATAAACCAAGAGTGCTTGCCTGCTGCATAACATTCTGCATGCATGAGTTAATCAAAGGAATCAATAATATAGTTTGAATTTTTTCATTAATTAATCCACGTTTACTGCGATGAAAAATATGCTGCTGTCACGTGACCAAATTTGCATTTTTTCGGACAACTTTCGCACTCCGCTATTCAAAGTGTATACACGTGCGCGATATAAACAAGCGAAAATATCGCAAAATAAGGACGATTTGAAAGTTTTTTTTGTATTTGTGGGTATATTTTAACTCCTGTAAGTGTAATATACCGAAGAGAAAAATGTCTAGTTGTATGGATAAGGAGAATAAGCGTGTTTCGGACATGACTGTTGCCGAACTAAAGGAGTATTTGAAAATGCGTAGCGTTACTGCAAACGGCTATTTAAAACCTGCTTTACTTCAAATTGCTCAAGCAGTGGAGAAAATGATGTTGCCGATTGACCCAAATCATGAATATGGAAATTCGGATCTCAAGAACGCAAGAGAAACATTTATTATTCATGATATGGTGATACGTCAGCCATTGTCATATCCAGTCGTGAACGACTTTATAGATTCGCCAGTCGCCACCCTTCGGTTTGTATATTTTTAACTATTTAATATACAGCTCAGCTGAGTATGATAAACAGGGACTTGCCTCATATAAATCATTCGAAGATTATAGAGGCTGCAAGCACATCGCAGCCTGTTTGTATTCGCTGGAGGATGTACTGCATAATCGCGAGAGTGTAACATCTGGTCCATGCCAGGTCATTAGTAGAAAAGCAAATATATTGATTATAAAATATAACTTACTTTATTCCCATCAGCTGTAGCTGGTATCGGATCAGGATAATCCGCTGTGGGTCCATTTTCGCCAATAAAATGAAAACCGCATATAGCTGTCTTTCCGACAGACGAACTTGTCGCCTCGACAACATGCATTTATCCAAATTTGCCTTCTTTCCTTAGATTTCTTCTCACTTGGGAAACTGTAGAAAGATACTGAAGTCCCATTGTTTTTTAAGCGTGCTGGATACCTCGAATCGCTTTTGCATATTCCCCAAGCACATCTCTTTACCATAATTTGTGAATCGCTTATAGTATAATCATGGATAGTATAATCGAGGCCGTCGAGCGAAATATATCCCTATATTTTCGTACCCACACAACGGGAAATTTTTCTCTTTGCTACATATTACACTTACAGGAGTTAAAATATACCCACAACTACAAAAAAAAACCTTTCAAATCGTCCTTATTTTGCGATATACCGCGCTTGTTTATTTCGCGCACGTGTATACACTTTGAATAGCGGAGTGCGAAAGTTGTCCGAAAAAATGCAAATTTGGTCACGTGACAGCAACATATTTTTCATCGCAGTAAACGTGGAATTACGCTGAATCTATATATAAAAAAATGTTAAAGTACCGATCTTTCGAAATATTTCTATTTGCCGTAATTTGGAGATAAAAAGATAGTCGCTATCACGCATTTTGTGTTTTTTATTTTGCTTTTTAAACATGATTGGTTATCTTCATACCTATTTGTAGTTGATTACGTGCACATAAATATATTATTAATTGTAAAAATAAATATAATTGTTTTGTTTTGTGATAGATATTGTATATGTTCAGCATCCCTTTGGCCTTGCCTTTGGCGAAACTTTCGATCCATGCAGATCCAGCCTTCTGCCTTCATCGGTGCTATATAAGATCCATGCACTGCACTGATGCAGGCTCACGGATCGAAACTTTAAGCTAGTAATACAAAATAAACGTGAATCGTGATGTTTCCACAAATACCAAACAATTCAGTTCTGGCTGCATGCAATCAAACAAGGAACTAATAATTAGTACGTATACATAAATCATTTAGGGACCGGTCATTATTTATGGCGGGGGGGGGGGGGGGG